CTTTGAAGACAAAGTTATTAGTGAATCCTTAAGATGTTTCAGAAGCTAAGAATGTTCTTTGTGCTTGAGGGGGGAGATACTGAGATACCCTGCTCTTTATTTACCTATGGGAATATTTTTCTAGACTAGGAACAATTGATAGGTCTTTGTGAGATATCTAGCATTCTATAAGAAGGTATAGGTAGGATAGCTAATGGACAACATTTCAGTACCCCCCCACACACACACACAGAGGTCCCTTAGAATACAACCTACTGATGTACTTTTGAAAAGTTTTTTTATGTGCCATCCATTCAAAACAATTCATAGCTGACCCTCCACCAGGTTTTCAGAGGCAATAAATTGAATTTGATAAGATTGTCCATCTTTCTCTCATGGAGCAGTTAGTAGGTTTGAACCATGTTCCTTTGGGTTCACAGCACAACTTATCATTAAGCCATAGAGCTACCTTTTGAAGGGTTTCTGTTTGTTGTGGGCCATTGAGTCAAGTATGACCCATAGCAACCCTATGAACAACAAATCTGAACCCTGTCTGTCCTGTGCCATCCTCATTTCCTGAGGAATGGGCTCTACACTAGAGCTCCTTGCAGCAGTCACTGTGTCAATCCACTTGCTTGAGAGTCTTCCTCTCTTTGAAGGGTGGTTGTTGTTGTTATTACGTGCAGTCGGGTTGCTTGTGATCATAGAGACCCTGTGTACATTAGTTCTGAAACCTGCCCTATCCTGAGCCAATTTCATCATCTCCGACAGACCTAATCCCGCATCTCCAGTCACTGTGTCAATCCACCTCACCCTGGGTCATCCTCTCCTGCACTGTCCCTCCACCCTTCCAAGCTTGATGTCCTTCTCCAAGGATTCGTCCTTCCTGGCCATGTGTCCAAAGTATGTGAAATGGAGCTTCAACATCCTTGCCTCATGGGAGCAACTTGGTTTCACCCTCTCTAGGACAGACCTGTTTGTTCTGCTGCCAGTCCATAGTATGCTTAATACTTTTCTCCAGCACCACAACTCAAATGCATCAATCCTTCTATCATTTTTAGTTCTTGTCCAACTCTTGGATGCATAGTAAGTAATTGAGAAGACTGGGGCCTGGATCAGGCACTCTGTAGTCTCCAGACTGACTTTGTTGCTCTTCAATACTCATCTTTTGATTTTTGACTGCTGGTGCCAAGAGTGTTGATTTGAAGGGTTACAGCCTTGGAAATCTGATTAAACAATTCTACTTTGCATAGATGTTGTTAAGTAGAGTACACATAAAAACCATATGAACAAAAGATTCAAATCTTATTCTAACCTGCGCCATCCTCACACTTCCTGACACAGTAGAGCCCATTGCAGCAGTCTCTGTGTCTGTCCACCTGCTTGAGGATCTTCCTCTTCTTCACCGACCCTCCACCCTTCTCCACATCATGTCCTTTTCCAAGGGATAGCCCCTCCTAGCAACATGTCTGAAGTATGTGAGGCAAAGCCTCATCATTCTTGCCTCCAAAGAACACTCTGGCTGTACCTTCTCCAAGACATATCTGTTTGTTCTCTTGGCCATCCATGGGGTGTTTAGTGCCTTTCTCCCACACCAGAGCTAAAAGGTGTCATTTCTTTTCCACCATCCCTATTCATTGTCCATCTCTCAGATGCATAGCAAGTAATCAGAAAGACTATGGCCTGAATCAGACACATGTTAGTCCTCAAACTGACATCCTTACTCCTCAGTAATTGGAAAAGGTCCTTCGGTGGAGATATTCCCAGTGCAATGTGTGTCTCCTTATTTCCTGGCTGCTGGTATTAAGGGTGTCAATTGTGAATTGAAGCAAGATGAAGTTGTTGACAGTTTCAGTCTCTTTTCCATCCATCATGATGCTGCCTATTGGTCCTTCCTAACAGTATTATTTATATCACATGCAAGCAAAATACTGCTGAAGATTATTAAAAAATGGCTGGAATCATACATGGATAGGGAACTGCCAGAAGTTCAGACAGGATTTTTACAAGGGGCTGTGGCACCAGGGATATCATTGTTGATGTCAGATGGATTCTGGCTGAAAGTAAGGAATACCAGAGGAATGTCTATTTATGTTTTATTGACGATGCAAGGGCATTTGACTGTGTGGATCAAAACAAGTTGTGACTGACATTGAGAAGAATGGGAATCCCAGAGTACTTGATTGTGTTCATATGGAACCAGTACCTGGACCAGGAGACTGTTTTGCAAATGGAGCAGGGGAGCACTGCATGGTTTGGAACTGGAAGGGAAAGCAACAAGATTGTATTCTGTCTCCATTTCTATTATCCGAGCAAATTATCCAAGATTGCATTCATATATTGTCAAGTAGTAATAACTCAGTTGCAACTAACAACAACAATCCTATTAGAAGGGAAAGTATAACATACCTCCTGCATACTACATCCAGTAGCATATACTTTGTAAAGAGTCATTCTAAATGTAATCATATTCTTATTTTACTAATGAAGAAACAGAGCCTTTGAAGTTTATTAGGTCCATTAGCCAAATAGATTTTAAGTGATAAAACTAGAAAATTACAGATTCAAGTTCAGTACTTTCTTCTGTAGCATTTAGCTATCAAAGATTCAATGAATGATGACCTGTGACATTTTTAATTAATCTAGATTCAGTGAAGCTATTCTTCTGGCAGAGAGCTGAGAGAGCATTCTCTATAGCTAAAGGAACTGGGGGATTCATGACATTTTCCTGTTAATGATTATAATAAATATGCTTAAGCAAAAAAAAAAAATAATCCTTAAGCATAGGTAGAAATTCTTTATGGCTGAGTTTAGAAAGGACTTTTCCCCTCACTGAAATAGTTCATCGTTGATATTTTTGTGCCACACTGCCTTTGGCATGAGCTATGAGTTAAAATAATCACTGTTCTTATTAAGAATGCCTGCTGTTACTCATTCCCAGTGATAAATTCTGGTTGAATACCCTCTGACCAATATCCCAAGACTCTGTCTCCCCGTTAAGCACTGGTGGTTTAGTGGGAAGAAGTTTTGCTTCCAGCCCAAAGGCATGCTGTTTGAATCTACCAGCTGTTTTACAGGAGTCAGATCGGCAGTCTCTTCACATGTGATTTACTGCTTCTGAAAACTTGCTGGAGTGTCAGCTATGAGTCAGTTCCAAATTGACAATACTTAACAACAGTCTCTCCTGAAATCCTCTGCAAACTCATGGCACCATTTTTATCAGGGATAGGAAATCATATAAATCAGTTCTGCCTTCCTCCCTTTGCAGTCCATTGTGCTTCTCAAGTTTTCTAAATTCTCTGCTGCTCCAAAATTAATACAGTGGGTTCTGGTCTTTTTCATACTTACACATATCGGCCTCTGGCCAATGGACTCAGAAGTGGTATATTGTTGTTGTTATGTGCTGTTGAGTCGCCTGCGACTCATAGAGACCCCATGTACAATAGCCCTAAACCCTGCTCTATCCTGTGTCAATCTCACTGTCTCTGACACACCTACCCCTATTAACAATCACTGAATCAAATCCATGTCATTGAAGGTCTTCCTCTCCTACACTATCCCTCCACCCTCCCAAGCATGACGTCCCTCTCCAAGGACTGGTCCTTCCTTGCAATATGCCCAAAGTGTGTCATATGAAGCTTCAGAATCCTTGCCTCCAAGGAGCAGCCTGGTTTAACTCTCTCCAGGATGAAACTGTTTGCTCTCTTAGCAGTCAGTGGTATATTCAGTACTTTTCTCCAACACCACAGCTCAAAGGCATCAGTTCTCCTTCTGTCATCCCTAATCATTGTCCAGCTCACTGATGCATAGCAAGTGATTGCAAAGACAATGGCCTGTATCAGGCACACCTTAGTCTCCAGACTGACATAATTGTTCCTCAGTACTTTGGAAAGGTCTCTAACAGCATACTTTCCCAATGCAGTTTGCCTTTTATTTCCTGGCTGCTGGTGACAGCAAGAGCAAATTAAATCTGTTAACAATATCTTCACCATCTATCATGATGCTGCCAATTGGCCCAGTGGTGAGAATCTTTGTTTTCTTGATAGTGAGTTTCAGTCCACAGTAGTGGTATACAGAAAAGTTTATCATAAGGTCTTACTCACTTCTACACTAAGCCTTTGCTTTGTAAGTATTTTTCTTGTTCATGAATTGTTGTTGTTGTTGTTATTGTTATGTGCCATCGAATTGTTTGCGACTCATAGCAACCCTATGTACAAGAGCTCTAAATGCTCTTCTATCCTGTGCCAACCTAGCCATCTCAAATGCACTTATTCTCACCGCTCCAGTCACAGAATCGATCCATCTCATCGAAGGTCTTCCTCTCCTTCGCTGCCCCTCCACTCTGCCAAACATGATGTCCCTTTCCAAGGACCAGTCCCTCCTTGCAACATGCCCAAAATATGTCAGACGAAGCTTCAGAATCCTTGACTCCAAGGAACACTCCAGCTTCACCCTCTCCAGGACAAACCTGTTTGTTCTCCTAGCAGTCCACAGTATATTCAACACTCTTCTCCAGCACCACAGCTCAAAGGCATCAATTCTCTTTCTGTCAACCCTATTCACTGTCCAGCTCTCTGATGCATAGCATGTAATTGCAAAGACTATAGCCCGGATCAGGCGCACCTTAGTCTCCAGCCTGATGTCGTTGCTCTTTAGTACTCTTGAGAGGTCCCTCACAGCCGACTTTCCCAATGCAGTTTGTCTCTTGATTTCTTGCCTGCTGTTACCAAGAGTGTTGGTTGTGGAACCAAGCAAACTAAAACTGTTAACTATCTCAATCTCTTCACTATCCAAAGTGATGCTGCCAATTGGCCCAGTGGTGAGAATCTTTGTTTTCTTGATATTGAGCTTCAATCCATATAGGAGGCTGCAGTCCTTGACCTTCTGCAGCAAGTGCTTCAGGTCCTCCTCAGTTTCATGAATATGAAAATCTAATTCATCAGTTTTTTTTCTCTTTATAGCTATATACTTAGGACTTAACAGAAATATTAAATATATATGTATATTTTTTGTCCCAACAGTACATCCTATCGGGTTCTGATGACTTCAACCTGTACATGTGGAGAATTCCTGCAGATCCAGAAGCAGGTGCGTATATCCTGTATAATCCGATACTAATGTTAACTCTGTGAACTTTATCATGCTTGTAGACCTGAAAGGACAGATCTATAGTAATAGAGGTAGATATTTCTCTTTTGACATGATTAGCTTATGAGAATGGCCAAAATAAGATGCTAAATTTAACTGTAGCCTTCACACCTAGCCTTTTCTAGCATAACATTTTTCTCCTAATCTTGCTTTAGATCTCTTTTATGTCCTTTTTCCTCTCTCTACTTATTTCACACCTGCAATATCTTTAGATTTCAGATTTTTTTATAGATTTCTTTTTTTTTATTACCCATCTCCATATTCTGACTTCTTACTCCACAAACAATTAGAGCCCTTTCCACTCTTTCAGCTGCCCTGGTGGTGGTAACTAAATTAAGACTTTCTCTGCTGATAGGCAAATACATTCTTTGGGTTTGGCTGGTGTTAGCCACTAACCACTAATGCTGAATTAAAAATGAAGAAATTGAAGATTTTTACCAGCTTCTGCAGTCTGAAATTTTCCACAATCAATCAAGATGTATTAACAATTGCCGATGATTGAAATATGAAACTTGGAAACAAAAAAAGGATCTTAGTTAGAAACACAGCATTGGGGATGGAGATTGCATAATAGAATTTTGCAAGATCAACAGTTTATTCATTGGAAATACTTTTTTTTTATCAACACATAAGGCAAAACTATAAATGTGAATTTTTTCTATTTTTTAAATTTATTAATTTCATTGAAAATTTACAGAGACTTTGGATTTCCATTCATTCATTGTTGTACTTTTCTCCCCTTCCAACTCTCCCCCCAGTACACTACCCTCTTGGAAAAGTAAAATTCTTTCATTGTTTTACAATCCCTCCCCCCAGGTCCACTCCATTATACAGACTTCACTCTGGACTCCTGTAATGACAAAAATCCCTAATAATTTTCCCTCTTAAACAGTTTTCTCCCTCATCTCTTTCAGTGCAGTATACATTCTTGAACCCATCCTTCTCAGTCTCCTCCCAACCCCGAGGTCAGTCCTGCTTTACAACAGTGGCACCATGCAATATTTGTCCTTTTGTGACTGAGATACTTCACTCAGCGTAATGTCCTCCAGGGTCACCCATTTTGAATAATATTGCATGAGTTCCTTGTTTTTTTAATATAAATGTGAATTTTTATGAGGTACAGTACGATAGAAATTAGATTCTGTGGAAAGAAACTGGAGAAGCTCACTATCATCAGAACAGAACCAGAGACTGACTGCAGAACAAGCCATCAGGAGCTTATATGCAATTCAAGTTGAAGCTGGTGAAAATTAAAACAAGTCCACAAAAGCCAAAGAATGACCTTCTGTATGTCATGACTGAATTTAGAGGCCATCTAACATATTGAACTCTAATGACTGAAGACCAGACAAGTTATGGGATGACATCAAGAGCATCATGCACGAAGAAAGCAAAAGATCATTTAAAAAGACAAGGAAGGGAGGGAGGGAGGAAGGAAGGGAGGAAGGAAAAGACCAAAATAAGTGCCAAAAGAGACTTTGAATCTTGCTGTGGAATGTATAGTAGTTAGAGTGAATGAAAGAAGTGATAAAGAGAGGTGAGCGGAAGTATTCAAAGGTTGACTTGAGAAGACAAAGCAAGTATTATAATGAAATGTGCATAGATCTGGAGTTAGAAAATCAAAAGGAAAGAATACACTCCACATTTCTCAAGAAGAAGTTAAACTTCAGGTTGCAGTATTGAAAGATTGTGTGGTCAAAATAGCGAACGGTATAGGAAGTATCAAAAAATGCATACAGAGTAATTGAACCTAAAAGAATTGATAGACGTTCATTCATTTCAGAGATTTGCTTATGATCAAGAATTAGTAGCCTTGGAAAAAGGAACCTTTAACCACCCTGAAAGCATTGGCAACACAAACAAAACCCCATACCTTTAGGAATTAAGCAATGGCAATGGAGAGTTTAAACAAAGACTTGTAACACTGGAAGTGCTCAGTCATCTATGTGAAGAAATTTGGAGGACAACCCCCTGATGTACTGACTGAAGAGTTGGTTTATACCCATTCTGAAGAAAGGTGATCAAACAAATGTGAAATCATCAACTAAAATATGCAAGTAATATTTTACTGAAGACAAAAGAATGGTGGCAATAGTATATTGAAAGAATTCATGTCAGAAATTCATGTTGAATTCAGAAGCATACATGAAATGAGAACTAGCATTGCTGACATTAGATTGATGTTGGCTAAAAGCAGAGAAAGATGTTTACCTGTCCTTTACTGACAATGCAAAGGCATTTGACTATATGAATCATAACAAATTACAGAAAACATTGCAGAGATTGGGAATTCCTGAAAAGTTAACTGTGCTCATGCAAAACAGTTGCACAGATCAAGAAGCAGCCATTTGAACAGAACAAGAGGATACTGCATGGTTTAAAATCATGAAAGATGTGTATCAAGGTTGCATTCTTTCCCCTTATTTATTCAGTCTTTATGCTGAGCAAATAATCCAAAAAGCTGAGCCATCTGAATCAGAATTTAGTATCAAAATTAGAGGAAGACTTACTTGATTACACGCCACACAGCCTTAACTTGCAGAAAATGAAGAGGACTTGAATCACCAACTGATAAAGATCAAAGACAGCAGCCTTCAGTATGTATTACACCTCAATATAAACAAAAGTTCTTCCCACTAGACCAATAGATGGTATTACGTTAGGTGGAGAAAAGATTGAAGTTGTCAAGGGTTTCATTTTACTTGGACCCACGTTGGCTTTCATGGGATCAGTAGCCAGGAAATTAAAGAGACAGATCTGCTGCAGAAAGACATACTGAAAATGTTAAAAAATCAAAGATATTATTTTGAAGACTAAAGTGTACTTGTCCCAACCATAGTATTTTTCTATCAACTCATGGATCTGAAAACTAGGCAGTGAAGAAGGAAGACTAAAGCAGAACTGATGCCTTTGAACTATGATGTAGACAAAGAATACTAAATATCCCATCAAGTGCTAAAAGTCCAACCAGAGTGCACCTTGGAAGTGTGGATGGCAAGATTTCATTTTACATCCTTTGGACGTGTTATCAGTAGACATCAGTCCCTAGAGAAGGCTATCATGCTCTGTCAAGTAGAGTCAGCAGAAAGAAGGACGACTGTGAATGAGATGGCCTGACACAGTGACTGCACCATTAAGTTCCAGTGCACACATTATTGGTAAGGTTGTGCAGGATGAGGCAGCTTATCATTCTGCTGTGCACAGTTGATGTGAGTCAGAATTGACTGTCCAACTGAACCAAATGATGACAAAGATAGCAGAGTACACGTTGTTGTTCATTGCCAGCGTGTTGGAACTTACTTAGAGCTAAACCTCCCACAGATATTCAGAGGCTGTAAAATTGCATGGGAGCAGCTGGATTTGAACTCCTTGCCTTTGGGCTGGCAGCACTGCTTCATGTCTAGTGGGTCACCAAAGCTCTCAGAACACATAGGAAGATATATTTCTACATTTCCTCAGCTTATTCAAAGAAAAGCCTGCTGCCTTCCATAAATTTGTTAAAGCTTTCAGACAACAATACCTTATTTTTCATTCTTGATATTAAAGCCCTCACATATTTAGTTGGGCATTAGTTGTTACCTACTGGTAGAAAAAGATCTATTTTTCATACTCAGATGGCTCAGTACAGCCATCTGTTCTAGGTGATAAATGGCATCAAGCTAGAAAATGGCCATTTGGAAAGTCATGAAGGACTATGTCAAGTTTATTATGCTGAATCTGTCTAATGCTCAGAGTTGCCTGTTGCTAAATTAACATTGTTAAAGCACATATTTTTATTTTGCTATCCTGTTCTTGTGTTCTTATTACTAAACAAGTTATAAGTGACCTTTTTCTCCTTCTGGAATTTGGAAAGCCTGTGTAAACAACTTACCTATGAAACACAAACAGATGGGGCAGCCTTAGTCTATTTGAAAAAAAAAATGGGACTCTAGCTCTAGTTGTTTATTAAAATTGTACTTTCTAGGTTCCCAACGGTAATAACCCTGGATTGCAGTATGTACTTTTGATAGTACCTTTTTCCTGAATCTTCTAATTAGGTGAATATGTACAGTGTCGTGATCTCGGTTATAGTGCTGATGCTAGACAACCGTCACCCATAATGATTGCCAGACTTCCCAACATCATAAACAAACTCATCAGTGTCATTTTTGAAACATAAGGCAGGTACAGAAAAAGTGTTTTAATGCATTTCTTCCATCATCTTTTGTTGCTTCTTTTATTAGTCAGTATTTTGCTTATGTTGTTGTTAAGTGCCTTCGAGTCAACTTTGACTTATAGCGACCCTATGAACAGTGGCTGTGAACCTTGTCCTATGCTGAGCCAACCTCAATGTCTCTGACACACCTGACTCCATTTCCATAGTCACTGTGTGAATCCCTCTCATTCAGGATCTTCCTCTTTGAGCTGACATTCTACCTATCCAAGCTTGATATCCTTCTTCAAGGACTTTCCTCTCCTGACAATATGCCCAAAGTATGTGAGACAGAGTTTCAAAATCCTTACCTCCAAGGAGCATCCAGGACAGAGAAGAGGGTGAATCCTACTGTTTGTTCTCTTGGCAATCTATGGTATGAACACCACAGCTCGAAGGCATCAGTTCTTATCATCCTTAGTCACTGTCCACCTCTCAGATGCATACCAAGCAGTTGGCTTGGATCAAGTACACCATAATCTTTAGACTGAAATCATTGCTCTTTAGCACTCAGGAGAGATCTTTGACATCACATTTTCCCAATGCAATTTGTCTTTTGATTTCCTAACTGCTGGTGCCAAGGGACTGTGGACCCATACAAGCATTAACAACCTCAGGCTTTTCTCTATCTATGATGATGCTACCTAATGACCCAGTGGTAAGGATTTTTGTTCTCTTGGTATTAGATGCAATCCATATTGAAGCCTGCAGTCATTGATATTGCAACAGGAGACATGAATTTTTATTC